GGGGGGTGTTACCATCCCCATATACCCTTAACGAATAAAATTCTCAAAACCTTTCAGAAGTTCATTTTTTTCCTTTTCCCATTTTAAAACAAAAATTGTAATTCATACCATAAATGGAACTATGAATTTAAACATTTCAACGAACATGAAACAAAAATAAAGCGCAAAGTTTTGAACATTTTATGAACAAACATTGAGGAGAAGGACAAACCAGACAAACTTAAAAAACTTTGACTTACTGTGATGTTTGTCCGCCAGGATAATGAGAGAATTTGAGATGTCCCTTCGTCTGTAGAAGCACATAACCTTAGCCTCCACATTTCCATTTTGAGTCTGGAGGAATACAAAACATAATTAGAAAATGCTGCGTGTCTTTTACAAGAAAAAAAAAATACCATTAAAAAACAAAACAACGGAAAGACACAAAACATCATACTAATCAAAGTTAACAGCTTCATGAGGACTAGCAAATTCAAGTAAAGTGTAGTACCTCAGATTATTAATTGACACTTATGTCTTCTTCAAAACTGTTCCTATTATGCGTAAGCAAAAAAAAAAAAAGCTACAGCCTTCAACAACATCGATTTTTAGCATAAAACAAAACAAACAAAAAAAACAAATTCTTTTGATCAATTAAACCCATGTAAGTGTGAATTACAATAAAACATACATATTCACCCTGAGACAATATGTTACAATGATCAACAAATACTACCAGTTTTTTGCCTGTCCATTAACTCACTGCCAACCAGCTGTATTTCTCATTACTATCCCTGAGTACCTGTCATTTCAAAGTGTATTTTAAGAAATCCCTGTTTGTTTGAATAAAGTTTAATAATGTAAAGAGAAGCACATTGACACAATAATGGTCATTTAGTGCTGGGGGAAAAGTAAGACAGACAGAAACAACAGAGGGGAAGTAAAAAAGTAGGACCTCTACCAGCGGCGCCCTCCAACCACCCACAAAATTACTGTGATTATAACTGACATAGAAATGCAAATGTAGCTTGTAATAGCCCGAATTCTGAACTCAGAAATGGCCTAGCGGCAACAAAGGTCGGCAGCTGAAACAGAACAGCAAAAGCCGCATAGGTAGACAGAGAGTTAAAAAGACATCTATCAATTGGTACCCCACAATGGAATTTGAAAGACTTAATGATCCTCAGGGTAACAAAAAAAAGTGTAAAAGCACACAGTAGGATAATTTCCTCTTGTCATACTGCTGTGAGTATGCAAATGAGCCCTTTTTCGCCCGTTCATCTCTCTTCACTGCCAATTTAGTGACCTCATACTTCAGAGACAGAACGAAGAGTGGAGAGTTTCCTCAGTTACAAAAAAAAAAAAACAACCTAAAAGCACACACAGCCCACTTTCGAGTAGGAATATGCACTATACATGCAAACTATAATCAGCAGAGGAACACCATAATTTTGAGGTGGCTGAGGGACAATCCTAAATATGTTCTTTGGACATAATTACATGCAGCCATTTGAATACTTTGTGAAACTGCTGAGACTAATTCACTTGGACATTGATACTAACAAAACACACTGCCTACAATTTCATTTGTAACTTATATATCTATTAATTGTTACATTATAATTTTCACAAAGATTTGTGAGTTTTAACTCAACAATCTTACATAGAGTTTTTGAAGATACACATATAGTGATTGTACAACTAAATCATGGTAACTGACACTGACTAACAAATGACTTTACACATACATTTCCAAAACCCAGCGTGGCAGAAAAAGTTATAGAATCTGCCAATTAAACACACTTCTCTTGTAATGTACTAATTAAAGTTCAATTGCATGTAGTGAGCACCCAACCTGTAATGATTCCTCCCTTTCACGTTGAATTTTCAGCCAAACACATTTAAAAAAAAATAATCTCTCTGCTTCAATCCAGCTTAAATACTTTTTAAAAAAGTAACAGCACAGAAATCAGATTCTTTGAAATACCCATGGCCATAGATTTTTAAAGTATATCAAAAGGGTCTGTGGGCAGCAGTAATTATGGCTAATCATATTGAAGCACTGAAAAAAAAATGTGGGGAATCATGGTGAAACCAGGCGCTCGTCAAAATAATGAAATCGAAGAAATCGGCATTTTTCAGCAAATTTGATTTTTTTTTCTTTAATTTTTGCTATTTGGCCGAACACCTTGTATGTCCATTCAAAACATTCTTATGAGTGGATTTTATGGAAAAGCGATTAAGGCACGAGAAATGTTAATTTGCAGTTTTCAAGGACTCTTGAGCTATGGAAGTCACCAAACTTTGGCAGCCATTTTCTCGCTAATTTTACTTCTAAACCAGGTCACCCCACCTCCTTCAATCGCAAATAACTCAACTTCTATAAAAAAATAAATGGATATTTTTTTCATCAAAGCAAGGCAAATGAACAACCTTTAGGTTGATAACAATAACCCTATATACCTAAAAACTGATAAGTGCCCGATTCCACTGCCGCTGCGTCGTGACAAATGTTTTCAAGGTTTAATTCATTAACAAATATAATACAAAACTCCTTGAGTTTGGCTCCGACTATTATTTCATAATCTATTGAGTCAATATGGTTTCTATTGCTACAAGTTCAATTATGGCCCCAACATGATCAAAATTCATATTTCCAGAAAGACCAGTCACTTCATGCTACTCTGCAGGTCATGAAAATTCAAAATGAAAATCACACAAGAGTGTACTGGCCTTAAATGATAGACTACTACTGACAATAAAAAATTACCTTGTTGAGCTCCTCTATTCGCCGAATTTGATATGGTGCTGTCGACGAGGTTTCAAAAAAGACATAATCTGAGGACACAAAAGAAAAACAGATAGTTATAATACAGTTTCACAAATTTCTCGCATTTACATTTTTTGCTTTAACTTCTGACAACAAAACACTGCTCCGAGTTGGGTAAAACCTAAGATCTGTTTTTTTCCATCATGATATAGACATTATTTTTATTTACCAATACAGCAAGGAGTACATTTTCAGTTTCCTTTGAATCTCTAGCTATGGAAGTCACTAAACTTTGGTGGCCATTTTCTCGCTAATTTTACCTCTGAAACCAGGCAACTCTCCATCAACTTCTACACACGTTTGAGGAGGTTTTTTTCTCTAACAAATGAGCAAACTTTAATATGATACCATTAAAAAATGCCCAAAAATTGACGAGTGCCTGACTTTACTGCGTCCCGACTCATTTTTTAAAATATTTTATTTAAGTCTGGAGGAGAGACAAGGATTTTGTTCGCCAAAAGACCCACTTGCTCATTTTCTCAGATGCTTAATTAAAATTGGCTAAATGGCTAGGTAACCATTAACTTATTTTTGCCAAGAAATCTTTCATATATGCACAACATTTGAAGGACCTTCTTGACAGTTCACTTTTCAGAAAAGACTAGATCTAGATCATGACAACCCCCCCCTCCCCACCCTAACTTAAAATAAAACAGAAATGTGGTAGTAGTTGTATAGGTTTAGACACCCCCCCCCCCCAAATCAACTTTATAAAACCAAAGTAATAGAGGTGGTGGGGTGTCTCATGGAAGCCAGTGCTTCTGAAAATTGAACAGCTAACAGAAGATAGAAACCACAAATATTTTACAGCATTCAACAAAAATTCTGTCATTGCTAAAATAATGGATTTTTTTCCTTTTTTTTTCTCTTTCTGGGGGGGGGGGGGATTCTAATGCAGCTGATTTTACACCCTCATCAACACTATTTTGCTCATTTAGGAGGCGGACTTCGAACCCTGCCGGTTGGGGCAAATCTGGGCTGAGGGGTATACCAGCAGAGAGACTGTAAATTTCTCCCTCCTTGGAAATAAAACGTTGGTCTCCTACATATGACAGCCAAGCATTTAACCGCTACATCAGACTCCCGTCTAAAATAATGTGCCACATTATCATTATCTCAGAAAATTTTGAAACTGATTCATTTTTTTTTTTTTTTTGGTAAGTGTTTTACAGCGCTCGCAACTGTTTAGGAGTCATATGAGCGCGCAGGACACATTAAACATTTTCAGTTGGTAGGAAATTTTGAATTATGCCCGTGTGGCGGCTGAAGCCTACTCTTATCGATTTTTGGACCACCAAGGGATCTTTTACGGGCGCAACTTGCATATGGGGCCTTCGAGATTTTTCGCACATGTCCGAGAAGGCTAGATGTAGATTTTTCCTACCATAAGATCAGCGGTGTGGCTGAAATACAGCAGTAAGAACGAGCCATGGAGTAGCAGTAGAAAGGCTGCAGAAACAGTCAGGAGCCCAGAGGAGGGGGCAAATGAGGTGAGGGGGGTGGGGGCAGAAAGTGAAGGCGAAAGCAGACGACAGAAGAACATTGCTAGAAAGCAGAAAAGGAGGTGAAAGCAGACAATTTTAGAGAAGACAGAATTTACGTCACTATCCGGATTCAAACCCAGGACCTATTGAATGAGAGGCAAACAACTTAACCTCTAGGCCAGGAGAACCCCCCAGATTAGTTTTAAGTGAAAGCATGAGAGTTCAGATAAAAACTTTAAAATGTAAAGAAAGATGGACTGCAAATGTTACACCTCCATTGACACAGTTTAGATCATAAAGATAGTGGGCTGCTTGGACCCTGTCTGTCACAGCCATAGGTTAACTGAGATACAATATCACACAATGTCCCAGCAGACAGACAGACAGACAGACAGACAGACAGACCAAGGTATATTTGTGATCACAACAACTTCCCTTCACAGGAATTGTTGTGTGCAACGTTTAAGAGTCTAACAAATACACCACAGCCGCTGATGGGTCCTACAGAACAACACGGGTAATTTAATGGATTTTTATAGAGTACATCATCACTCGTTTTTGCGGGGTTTTTTATGGTTGTCCTGTTTGTTGATAGAAAAAGGTACTATAAAAAAGAAGAAAAGGGATTATTGGGATGAGATGGCTCGGAGACGACACATCTCCCTTCTATTCAGAAACACCAAAGACAGGAAAGTCAATTTTCAATGTCCAAGAGCTCCCCAAGTGTGCTGAGACAAAATGATGTTCAAAATGAATCCAAGTCACAAAACTTTATGTGTCTAATAAAAAAAACTCTATACATGACACTGCTCAGTTTTGACCAAAGATTCTGTACACAGCTGGGTTTTGCTCAAAAAATGCATATATTGACAAAATACATGGTTGGAGTGTGCCTCATTTTCAACGTGAACCGCAGTCCCATTTTGTTCTTTCCACCATTCATGGATCAGGTTGTAAAATGCACTTCAAGTTGTCTTTCCCCATGAAAGAGATTCCAAACTTTCATTATTTTCTAACATTTTTTGTTTTTGTGTATGCTAACCGGTGTTAATTCTGTTTATAAAACACGGTTAGAAACATCACTCTTTTCGTCCGGTGTGCACTAAATGTTTGTGGCTAAGCATACTCCTTGTTTTTCACAGGCCACAGTACCAGTTCTCTTGTCCCGATCTATTGTCAAGTGACTTTTTCAATGCACGAGTTGCTGACACCACAATCTTCCTCCACAACAGATCGTATCGCGTGGAGCGTCCCCACCTGCTTTTTCGTCCTATTGTGAGGTTTCTAATGCATCAATCTATGTGAAGAAAAAGAAGTGATAGCATAGGATAACTGTGCCTCCGGAAAATGAAACCACTACAAGAACGTGCGGAACTTTCGTTTCAGTCTCTATAATGGCGGACAGCGAGCAAGGTGAGCTTTTCATTTTTTTCTCCTCACAGTTTCATTGTGTGAAGTTTCTAACATTAAGTGTATCATGTGTGAAGATTTCTAACGAAATGTTTTATTGTGTCTGAACAGTCCTAGGATGATTTGAAGAATTGTTACAAAAGCTATTTAATGAAATTGCCTTTCAGTGCACTGTCATGTAATGTTACCTGTGTTTGGTGTTGGCCTGCTAAACGTCTTTTGCAAGACTACACTTAAAACGGGACAAAAATGCCACTCATGTCCAGTATGACTTTTCAACATATTTTTCAAAAATGGTTGCTCCAGAACAAACAAACATCCCGTCACTTTCATCACGTTGCTTTTGGTTTGCACTGGCTTTATTGCTAGTATTCTTTTTTAGCTTTAACCAACAGCATGTAGCTAAGGGTACGATGTCAACACATGTTGGAAATGCCACAGGACAAGGAAGATCCTGACGTCCTATGTGATGTTTCTAACAGCTGTTTTGATTTTGTTTGGCGCAATACAGAAACATTTTTATCATGATTCTATCCTTCCTTTCAATTGTTGACATTCTATTTTTCTGTCAATTTCTCGAAAATTTATCTGAAACTAGAATGTCTCGCTCACTCCAGGAACAAATACATGAAAAAAATCACAGGACAAATTTGAGTTTGTGTCCATGAGACATTTCTAACATCTCATTTAGATACTTTAATTACATTCCGCGGAAAAACTGTGAAGAAGTTCTGAGGCTTGGTTAGACTATGACTAAGACAAGGCTTTAAAAACGAAATATGGGTTTGGGGGAGCAGGGGACAGGGCACCAAAAGAGGCTAGCTGGTCTAATATTTGCTCCAAATCCAGCAGTTGTCTCTTAGTATGTACACTAAGAACACATTTTGCATTCACTCTGGTCTCCAAATTGGCAATAGATGATTTTTGTCTATTTTCTGACACTCCCAATTCCATCAAATTATTGCTGCTGGTTTGGATGTCATCTTCATAGCTTCTCTGTGAAATGTTTATGCGTACCAATAATTTATAGGTCAGATATAAATGACAGATGTTTTCATGGTGGACTTCATGTTTTTGAGGATGTTTTGTTATATGCTTTCGTTGCTCTCCAGCCTACTTGAATCAGAGTCCCTGATTCCATATATGTGAATGTTAAGAATTAAAATAGTTGAAGAACTCGCCAATACGAAAGAGATTGCCCAGTCTCTATGAAGTAGAGTCAAACCTGCCTTAACGGAAACCTGTGTAAAACGGAAACCTGTCTTAACTGAATCTCCCCGCTCCCCCCTTGATATATTCCTCTTTAATTACCTGTATAAAACGGAAACCTGTCCAACGCGGAAACGGAAAGAAAAATCCACTCCCTTCCGAGGATTTCACCTGTCTAAGACGGAAAATGCTTTGCCCGCTCAGCCCTGATTTGAAACAAAACTCGCAAGTTTGGTTCCGCCGGCTCTAAACTTAATGCCATGGCCATGCCGCTGGGCGAGGAAGGGGAGTAGGGGGGCAATTTGGGGGTACATGTTACCCCATCATGTGAGTGATGCAGATGGTCAGTGTAGTGTGGGTGTGAAATCTCACGACTGCCCGTGAGAGTGCTCGAGTAGCGAGTCACTACTTAAACTTTCCTGGGTAGCCAGAAGTCAGAAGTGTGAAATTAGATCGACCAATGCCTGCCGCCCTGATCGTACGGCCAGCCGAAAAAAGAGTTCCTCGAATCGTTGCTACAATGATGGCAATGAAAGGTGGCTTTGGTGGGTGGGGCTGAGGGAGGAAGCAAAGGAGATGTTCAATCGTTTCTGTTTTTAATAGGTCAAACGGTGGTCCTATGAAAGGCAAGCACAAGTGGTAATTGGATAAGTAAGACTGACGCATGTCATTATCAGACAGGATAGCAGTTGAGAGGTGTGAAATTTTGACCACTGCTTGCCGATCGGACAAGCGATCCTTGATCCCACCAGCTCAGCCTTTGAAACCCCCCCCCTCCCCCCTAAATTCCATTGTTTCTCTAAGACGGAAAATGTCTAAGACTGAATTTTTTTCCCGCTCCCTTGCAATTCCGTCTTACACAGGTTTGACTGTACATGTACATAAAGATGCTAATCACACTGCATTGACAAAAATGTCCAGAATTGGTTTGTTTGCTTTTCTTAGGTTCTTGCTGTGGACGCAGAGGAAGCCCAGATAAAGTTTTATCGGCGATCTGTACTGGGTGGCTACTTCACTTAGCCTCAAGTTGATGACACTAGCTGGATGCCACTCTATGCCCTTACTTATGGGAAGCACCTAGCCTTGATACTAGAGAGAGAATTATTGTCTCTGCAAGGGTTTTGACATTGTTTTAGTTGTTTAGTCAAATTTTACACAGTTGTATCTAAACAATTTAGGAATGGTAGCCTGTTTAGGATATCATTTGTGGTCAGCTTGTATTTTGATTGTGTCCTGTGACATTTGTAACGCTTTGTACTCTATTTTGTGTGCATTCCAACTATTATGCGTTATTCAGTTTTTCCTTTTTAGTTAACAATTATGACCATGATGCCACAGCTTTATGCAACAAACGTCAAATACACACATTCTACGCGTCTTGTAGGCCTACTTTGTACAAAGGATTTGTCTTACATAATTTTGTCTGTTGATGTGTGTAACTCCATTTCAATTTTCTTCATTTTCTACATATATAATATTTTAGTATATCTATGTCTTTGAAGTCACATCAGCAGAATGTCCTCTACGAGCATTGTCTGTTTCTTTACTTTGTCAATGTTTAACAATAACCCTTTCAAATACACAAAAATGTTTTTCTCTTTGACTTATGAACCTTTTGTCCTGTAACATTTCTAACTAAAGTTCCACCCCCCAGGGCAGTGCCACTGACTGTAGTGTCTTTAGGCCATTCAAGGGGGACATTTCTTGTTCAAGCACAGTAGATTTATAAATGGGCTGATTCATCATGTCATGCTCATACTGTGCCTGATCTACAACAGGGAACTGCTGCTTTTTCTTTACTAATCCTTACTATTGTCATTTCCCTCTACTTTTGTATGTTAGTCACACTCTTGAGACCCGTTATTTGCTGGGTGCCTTGATAGTCAAAGCAGACCTTGTGCTGTTGAAGCTAAAGAGGTGAGCAGAGTAAATCTGATTCCCTGTAAAGACTTTTCTGTTGACACCCACCCCTTGGCCCTCATATGACCTTATGCAGTTGCAAGCGCCGTAAAACCCTCTACTAAATTTTTTTTTTTTAAGTTTCAATACACAGCACCTATCAAGCAGTATTTTGCGATCATTTTAAAAAATTGTCAGTTTCTTTGATGTTAATAAAATGATAAACAGTATTAAAATAAGGTTTTAATGCTTACTTTGTGTGTTTGTAACGTTTTTATTTTATCCCGTAACATTTCTAACAACATGGTTGGGGAAAAGAAAAACCATGTTTAACTCAAAAACAAAAAATTGAACAGCTCTATCTTCTTCTACAGATCAATGGAGAGAAGGATACTACTTCTTACTTCGGTCAATATTTTGAGCTTTGTACTCTGACTTGAAATTTTGCCCCAGTTGTTACCATTTTGCTCAATATAGGAAGAATGACCCATTAATTGAGCAGCTTTATGTCACTCTAGGTTCTTTTTTTTTTTAATATATCAAAATAAATTGGGTCTGATGCCAAGTACACTGTAAGAGAACTACTTTAAGTCTAAGCAGAAAAGGTGGGGAAAAGCAAAAATATTACAACTACAGGGCTGAATAGAATCAAACCAGGCCCAAACTATTTTGACATGAGAGAGAGTTCCTTGCCGCTACACTAACGATACAGAAAAAGGTAAAAGTTTTGTTCTCTAACATTATCTTAACAAGATTTTTTTTTTGTTTGCAGACTTGACACTCACAATGCACTAGAAGTGAAATGCCCATCTTTAGTCTCCCCCCTCCCCTCCTTGTCCACCACAAAAAAACCTTCCAGGCCTCATAAATGATCACTTTGACACCCCCCCCCCCCAAACAGCACATAAAAACATGAGTCTGTAAATTATTTTTCATCTGATTATGATCATTTCATCTCCAAACATTTTATCTTTCCCGACCATCACTCCAATGCACAAACACACATATATATATTTTACTTCAAAGATTTATACATGCAATATATTTCAAAATTACTCATTGTGTAAAGGGATTTGTCTGAACTAAGTCTCATTTGCAATCAAAACACATTTTCACCATACTCAGTGCCAGTAATGAGGTGACTATTGCTTTCATTTAGTGATCCACTCACCACAAGGCCCTAAAAATACGCAAAGCAAACGAAGTAAATTCTAAAATCAGAGTCCAGTTGGCCGACCAGAAAAAATACTACCAAATACTTACTAACCCTGACCCCCTACCCATCCGAGACATAAACTTTACAAAGTGACTATTTCTCCGAACGTTCGGGAAAATAAACTTTCATGATCTATTCCTCCTAACAGTTTCCGTTCTCAAGGTTTTTTTTGTTATTTGCAAGATTTAGTCGTCATCTTTCATTCTGCCATTCTGCGAGGACAGGGAAGCATTTTTTGCATCGAATTCAATTTCTAGAGCGAGAGATTTTTAAAAGTCTGAATATTCAGATACAAGAGTTGTGGTTGGGGCAACGTTCCCAGACTATACTTCATTTAAAAATGCCTTCAAACGGTACTGCGAGAAAACAAGACTTATCGACCTTGGCAGTAACCTATTTTGCATTAAGTCACCCAGCAAAAACTAAAATCCTTCATGTAAACAAACAAAATTTCTCCCCCCCCCCCCCCCGCGCCGTTCACACCTTACACACACGCACATTCACACACACACATACACACACGAGCAACTCCATTAACAAATAAAAAACAAATCTCGAAAACGGAAACCGTTTGGAGAAATAGAGTTCAAGTTTAATTTTCACAAAAGCGTTCTGAGAAATAGAGCCGGCCTAAACTTTATACTTTATGCTAAAGGAATATCTAGAACCTTGTGATTTTACTCTAAAACAAAACGGTTTTTTTCTTTCCTGCCTACCATAAAAACTACCAATATCCACGACATAACTGACAGAATCATAATTCATAATCTGGGCTATTTATCACAATTACAGTGTACTGGCTTAGTCCATCTCATCTACCTAATTTGTAAGACTGTACCGCATTCTCTTTATATATTATAAGCCTAATATATTCATTACAGGCAGAACGATACTTTGAAATGTATAAATTTATCTATACAAAGATTTGTAGTAACTAGACTAGATCTGGAATCTAGATCTAGATCTAGATCTTAGTTCTTCATCTGGAAAATACAAGTTGAATGTGATAGCTTGGCCAACTATTCTCTTTTTGGGGGAAACCTTTGTTTTCCTTTTTTTAACCACTGGATTACGGCATGACCATTAAACATTTACTTATGGCATGGAGGCCTCATTAAATTCAAATTACTCTGGAGGCTAGTCCACTTTTATAATATATATCAACTAATCATAGATGTTACATAGGCATAAATTCTTGTAACTTTTCTTGTTTTGGGACTCGGCTTAGCACGCGAAAACCCCTCCTTCGCTCCTGCCCATAGGCCGTGGCCCCCGCTCTGGTCGACATTGCTTTGCACACAAAATAGTTCCACGCTGAGCACGTTTGGCGTGTTAGATGCTTTGTATACAATATTCAAGTCTAAAACACGGTCACAGACACAAACATGCCCCTGGAATTATTGCTGATAAATTAGTTTAATAAGTTTTCGATAAAAATTCTTAAATAATCAACAAGAAAAAATCGAAGCGATCGGTGGCCTTCTCACGCCTCGCTGAATGCGCGTGAAACTGCCGTTTGACGAATAAAACAATCAAAATAAAACACTTCTAAGCACTTCCACCTAGTAAATCCATCATCCTATTGATAACAGATTTGACTTAATCTTGTTGCAATACTTTTTAGACCATATTAGTAACAAAACCGTTCGAAAAAACTTTAAAAAGTATCACAACGCCGTTCAGCTTGGTTTGTGGGGCATGCATGCTACTTTCCTCTTTCGATCAAAACGATTGAAAAATGTACTTACCTCCAACTCGATACATGTTTGCCGACATCTCTGGTTCAATTTAGATGATAATCAGTGCACATAAACTAAATCATTCAAAAATCAACGATAATATGGTCATGAATCCATAGATTGAGCGAGGCCAACCCCCAATCACCCCCCTACGAGTCTGATCACGGAGTCGCCATTCTCGGACCTACTGTCTTCCTCTTTTTACAAGTGACGTCATTCGTCCTTCGGCAACGCTCGGTTTTCACTCTAAAACCAACTTCAGATGTCAACTTTACTAAAAGTATAGCAAATTGGGTATCAAACTGTGCGTCCTATTCTACACAATGATGCCATGCCAACGATTTGCTATATTTTACAGCCATATCTTCAAAATTGGTTGAAAACTCACAGAAGCCTTTATCTGTCGCATTTTGACTCTAATGTTAGAAAATCTAGGCTATAAAAAAATCTACAGTGAGTGCATTTCTCTCATTTTAATAAATATATCGAATTGAAACAATAACAAGGGAGTAGTTTCATTTTCATGGGGTTTTTTTCCTGTTGTTCTTTTCTTTCCTTCGTTCGTTGGTTAAAGTTTTGAAATAGCTGTCGATGCTTAGGAGGGAGGGCGATGCGGCTGGGAATTTCTTTGTGCCGCGCTGCGCAGCGAGCGCTATGGCGCGAGACACAGCGTGTGAGCGTCGAGCGTGACCACGCTACGCGCGCCAGCGACAAAACCACTTTGCTTTCGGAGAAGAATACTAGGCTAACGTTGATCATGGACACACAATCCCTTTAATTTAATGAAAATTATGCTACTAATCCGCCATGATTAGAAAGATAAACTTGGTGTCTAAGCAACCCTCAACGTTTATACTATAGTCAGCTTTTGTAAAAAGAGATAAATAATAATACTGTGATAGCTAGAACCCCCTTCCAAACGAATGGTAAATCCTTCAGTATTGCATGTAGTACCCTCATCACCACACCTGTTCCAAGAAAGTGGACGGTGGTGCATTGAAGTTATTGGTCGTTTTCCACTTTCCACTCTTGAAATAAAATAAAGGATAGCACTTCTACCATCTTATGCGACAGCTAGTCAGTGTAAATGGTTGAGGGGGGGGGGGAGACGAAATGTTTCGTGACTACTTCTCCTTGTAGTAGTTTTGTAAGCGAGACCAGCTACACGTACGTAGAAACACTAGACCTACTGACATATCTTGGACAATAATATAGAATCTAGTAGTATATCCATTTTTCTCGAAGATCATTGATAAGATTGTATAATGGAAGCCAGCTCTGGTTGGCGAAGACGAATGAGAAACGTTTAAACTAGATTAATGTGTTCGAAAAAAAAAACATTATTAAAAGACCGTATTACCGTGTTGGCCCACTGGCCTCTAAAAAAGCAAAGGGTGGGCTGCCAGTTTTTAACCAGAGAGTGTGTGTGTGGGGGGGGGGGGGTTACCACTATAATCCCCTTTTTGTTGTTATTTTCTTTTTTTTAAAGAATACCCCCCCCCCTCCATTTTGTACTACCACCCGTAAACATCTTTCATTCCAGCACGCTTTTATACACAGCCCAGACATGAGTATCTTGGAAATATTCCAAAATCAGCAAATATATATAGCCTAATAATTAGTAAACATTTTAACTGTTTGTTTGGCCGATAGAAATGCTTGCTCATTTTTGCCTGATAAGTATACGAGTAGATCAGTGCTGGCTTGTAGAGGGATCGATGGGCTAGCGAAACAATTGTTTTTGTTTGTTTTGTTGTTGGTTGTTGGGTTGTTGTTGTTTTTTTGGGGGGGTTGCTAAGTTGGGTGGGGTAGGTGGATTGGGATGGTGTCAGGTTGGAAGCTTGGATGAAAGCAAATTTTAGAAAAAAAAGTGTAAGAGAGCTTAAGCCTATTTTGATAGCAGCCTGTAAAGGTTACCTCCAAAAAAATACTACAGAAAAAACTAATTAGTGATTCTGGACCCCACAGCTCATCTGTGGTTTTGCGAATGAATAGAATCTAACTGTAGAACAAAAACAGGCCTTGAGAAGCTCATGAGAAGAACTAAAACAAAGGACAGTAACCCGCCACTGCCTGCCATCACAATTTGTTGTAAGGTCCTTGGTCTCACGCGTAAGGTCAAAACCAGAGAGTGTCAA